AAACAGTTTATGAAACCTTTTTAAAAAATCCGAGCATAGGCTTGGGACAAGCTCTGATAATTAAAAAAAAAATAAGAGTGAAGTTCTAAGGCTCCTCAGAAATTTTCAAAAAAAGTAATCTGACAATCCTAAGGAACTTAAATATTCAAAATTTAAAAATCTTTCAGTACATTGACAGTCTCTACAAAATTCATAAAAATCAACAATCATGGCTCTGGCATTGCTAAAATTATTCAGAAAAATCAAAATTAAAGTACTGCAGATCCTGTAAAATCTAAAAAAATTTTAAATTTTGAAAATATTCACAAAAATCCTCGATTATATTTGTATCTAGCTATCTTCAGAAAATTCAAAAAAAAAAAAATATACGGTTAAGTCCACTTTAAAATTTTAGATTTGTTCCAATAGGCCTTTTTATACCCTCCACCATAGTATGGAGGGTATATTAAGTTTGTCATTCCATTTGTAACACTTCGAAATATACATTTTAGACCCCACAAAATATATTTATTCTTGATAAGCATAAAATTCTATGTCGAATTAGCGATGTCCATCCATCTGTCCGTATCGCGAACAGTGGAAATCACTCTAGCTTCCGAAAGAAATGAAGTAGATTGATAAAATTTTACTCAAATGTATATTATGTCTGCAGGACTTTTGGTATTGAAAATGTCCTTTGGTAATGAAAAGTAGGTCCACGTTTTGGTATAGCCTCCATATAACGGTACCTCCCGATTTTCGTATTTTAACGATTTTAGCGACTTTATTCACCGGAATTGTTTTAAATTTGGTATTTGAAGTTCGAAAACAATACTACAGCCTAAGACAGAAAATTGTCTGCGCAGGTCCACGTCTTCGTATAGCCCCCATACAACTCCCGATATTCGGTATTTTGGTGATTTTAGCTACATTATTCACCGATTTTTATACCCTACAACACTATGTGTTGGGGGTATTATAAGTTTGATTGGGCCAAAAATTATGTAACACCACGAAATATTGATTTCCCACATAGGAAAGTATATATGGATCTTCCTATCTCGCCGAGCTGAGTCGATCTAGATATGTATGTCCGTCCGTCCGTCTGTCCGTCTGTCCATGTTAATTTCTAATCACTCTACAGGTCGCAATTATGGTCCGATCTTCACGAAATTTAAAATGAAGGTGGGGCTAGGGTCAGAATAGAACCCTATTTATTTTAATGATGATCGCATAATATTTAGGGGTTGAAATGGACCAAAAACTGAAAAAATTCCTGATTTTGCACTTGCTCTACAGGTCGCAATTATAGACCAATCGACGCGGAATTTCGCATGTAGCTAGAGTTTAGGGCTGGCAAGAAGCCTACCCATTTGGGTGGTCATCGGATAATATGTAGCAGGTAAAATAGACCATATTTTTTGTGTTGAAAAAATTCAACATTTTTCATTAAACCGCGAATATTTTAAATCCCGGCGGAATCCAAAGCCATGACAAGGTTACTTCTGATCTTCACATTGATGTTAAGATCCTACAAATCGGATATATGCTTGAAAGATCTCGTATATGTGGAGAACGGCTGAACTGATTTCGACAGTTCTCATTAATTCAGAATGGCCTCTTGGCAGGAAAGAAACAACGTCTAAAAAATCGCATAAAAATATCTCTCTAAAGATGAAAATATTGATTTTGTAACATTTTCTCATATTTTTCCAATTTTGTCATATTTTTGGCATATTTTAATTTTGAATTAAACATTTGGTAATATTTCTACAGCTAACAAAACTAAGTAGTTACGATATCAGGATATCATATACAGATCGCATTTATGGCCCGATCCTTACGAAATTTTGCATGGGGATAAGATGAGGGCCAGAATAGAAGCCTACTCTTTTTGGAGATGATCACCATATATTTAGGGGTTAAAATGGACCAAAAACTGCAAAATTGTCAGCAGGTCGTAATTGTCGCCCGGTCCTCACGCACATTTGAATGGGGGTTACCGGACATTGCAAAAGCCAAGCAGTTTTGGATGGCCATCCAAAAATATTCAATGTGTGAAGGAGTTCGCCAACTTTTGTAGACAAAATACGAAAATGTCCATTCCAGTGACTTTTTGGAGAATTCACAAATTCTGACTATTTCGTTAACGCTGATTTCGTTGAAGAATATAGTCAAATGTCTGTATCTCATATAGATGCGTTTCAGTCAAAAACCAATAATAAATGTTAATCTTTTGCCACTTCTGAGAGATTATAGGTCTTTGGGAAATATTGGTTCCCGATCTAGGAAGACCATTTACGTGCAACATCTACCAATAAATTGGAAATGAGCAAATTCGTCTAAGTTGCTATTATTCGACAATTAGAGAACGAAACCTGATGGTTTTCTTTTATAATTTGTCACAATATCTTGTGGAATTCTTTCGAGTATCTCGCCTATATAAACTGTATCGTTTATTATAGTGTTGTAGGGTATTCAACGGTCGGCCCGCTCGACTGTAGCCTTTGCTTACTTGTTTTGGTATAATTTTAGTACTCATTTGTTATCTAATTTCAGAATTGTATCTCTATCCCTTCAACCAAGACCAAATTTAGTACTTTTCGTTCATTTCCACATTCATATCTCAATTCCAGATACCAACCGAAATTCCAGCTCTATCCCTTCACCCAATACCAACCAAATCTAGTGCTATTTAGCACTTGTCGCACAATTATATTACACATTTCCAAAACCATCTCCATATCTGAATCCCAGATAACAATAGAAGCAAACGTTAAGATTAAGGCCCTTTCCCTTCACCCAATAACAAATCTAACCACCAACAGGGGCCCCAATACAAAAGTTCAAAATTCCCGATTCATCTGTTAACCCTAAAGCAAAAGATTTCAAGTTTAGTACCATTTGGTACATATTAGTACACATTTCCAAAACCCATATTCATTTATCAAAATTTTTTCCAACCTTGAATTTCATGCGAAATTTTAATTTTCCTTAATATCAAGTTGTGCCATTTTAGAAGTTTAGTATCATTTTAGCACCTTAAAGTTCTAATCAAAAATATATACAGGGTGAAATGAATGAAAAAACTGCAACCAACTGCTGTCATTTCTAAGCCACTCGTCCGACAGCTGTATAAAATTATTCCAGTGACAGCTCATTATATTGTTTAGAAGCGTACAAAAGCATTTTGGTGAGCATTTTCCAGATAAAAAGTTATTCGTGATGGAATTCAAGCGTGATAGTGTGATTTCCTTATATTTGGCTGGAAATCCACAAGTGGCTATCGTTAGAGCTCTCCAGCTTTTAAATTAGTATCAATCTTTTGTGTCTCGTACCATCGCTCATTACCGTGATACTGGTAACGTAGCCCAATGTCATGGAAGTGGACGAAAGAAAACAATAACTGCAGAAGAAATGATTCGAAAAGTAAAGAAGCGACTTGATCGAAACCCGCGTGGCAATGACCGAAAAATGACTTGTGAACTGAACACGTCGCAATATTCCATTCGGCAAATATTGAAAAATGGGCTCGGGCTAAAGCCATTGAAATTCCAAAAAGTTCAAGAGCTTACACCGCAACGGAAAGAAAATAGACTGAAAAGAGCTAAAGAGTTGCTTCGCTTGACCGAAAGTGGTGAACTGCCGAATTTAGTTTTCTCCCATGGGAAAACATTCGTTGTCCAGCAGTTTGTAAACAAACAAAACTATCGTGTTTACTTGGCAAAGAGGTCAGCTGAAAGTGAGCACCTTCGGTTGGCCACCAGAACTCAAGTGCCGGCCGTGGTGATGGTGTGGGCCGCCATAACAGCCGATGGTCGCTCTCCGCTCGACCGTGGGATCAGAATAAATGCCGAATATTAAGCCTTGGGTCTGCAAACATTTTGGCCGCAGGCCTTGGACATACCAACAGGACTCAGCACCATCGCACTCAGCACACGCAACCCAAGAATGGTTACAAAATTAGGTTCCTCGCTTCATTTTCAGCTCACAATGGCCACCAAAATCTCCGGATACCAATCCGTTGGACTATTGTGTCTAGAGTATTTTGGAAAGCAAGGTTGGCACTAGAGTACCAAAGTGTCGATCACCTAAAGCAAGCGCTTCGACGGGAATGGGCCAAAATACCGCAGAGCAACATTCGGGCAGCGAGTGATGGTTTCATTGGCCGTTTGGATGCCATAATTCGTGCCAAAGGTGACCAATTCGAACAAATCTAAACTTATTCTAAAAATTGATGCTGTTTCCGACATTTTTTGCTTTCATTCAATAACATTTAAAAAAATATTATGTTATGGAGTTTATTTAAAGTATGGCGTTTGACTTTGTTTCAGTTTTTTTATCTTACCCTGTATATTAAAAACATATAGGTTTCAAAGTTCACAAAAAACCGAAAATATTCCCTAATCTTTATGGTCAAATTTCCCTCGGACTTTTTTTGAGTTGACGTCTGAAAATAAGATAAAATTTCGTTTTAAGCGGAAGGCATCCAAAGAAGAAATGTTCTACACAGAATTTCTATATAAATTTCAGGATAAATCATATATCTAAATTATGCGTTATTCCGACAGCTGTTAAAATTATTCCAGTGACATTTTGGTGAGAATTTTCCAGAAAAAAAGATTTGTGATTTCTTATATTTTTTGGTGAGAATTTTCCAAATTATCCTAATATTCTTGTACAGGGTGAGATGAAAAAACTGCAACCAACTTCAGACTGCTGCCATTCCTATGCCACTCGTCCGACAGCTAGTAAAATTATTTCAGTGACATTTTGGTGAGAATTTTTCAGAAAAAAAGATTTGTGATTTTTATATTAGCCACATGGATGAGGGTATTTTTTATACCCTCATCCATATGGCTAATATAATAATATTAGGATAATTTGACTTGCTGCGATCACGTTAAACGTCTTATAGGGTTTAAAAATATAATTTCTAAAAATTTATGGTAATCAATTTTAAAATTCTACAATGTTCAAACACTGAACAACAATTCCCAGCAAATAAAATACTTCATTGATTCTTTTTTATATTTTATTATTTTATTTATAATTAGTTTATTATTATTTCGATTTCTAAAAATAATTTAAACAATACAACAATTTTCACATATTTTTTTCGTCGTCGTTAATTTTGGTTTTTCGTCCTCTTTTCCCAAAAATCAGAATTTTAAACTCATAAATGACAGACAGACCTCTATTCGTGATTCAAGTCTAATTACTTTAGATTACAAACCAATAATAATAGTAATATTTTCAATAGAAATGTGTATAATAAAAATGTTGTAAACTATATATGTATGTATGTGTATATTTACGTATGAGGGTCACGGTGATTGTTTGATTGATATTCCTTTGTTTTAAATTGCAATAATAATAAATATAATTGTAATAATACAAAATGAAAAAATATATATATTTGATAATCATTTCAATAATAATTATTTTCAAATTTCTATAAAAATAAAACTTTGTTTTCTGGAGTTTGATATTGAATTTACTAATAATAAAAATACATTTCACTTGTTGTTCAATAATTATTGAGTTTTGTTTTGTTTTTTTTTTTCTAATTAAATTATATGCCTCTGATTTTTTGTTTTTAAATTCCCTTTTCGTCATTCGGCTTGTAGCCCTACAACCGGCATTTAGAGAGTGAACCACATAATAAATTGTACAAGTTTGTATAAATTCACAATGGGGAATTTCCATTTGTTTTCCTCTTGTCTTCGACGATTCGGCACCAGACTGGGATAATGTACCGGCTTGGAAATGTGACAATTGGTAATGACCGTACCGCCGGGATAATCAATGGACACGGCATTGCCATGCTTGACACCATCACAGTCTGTGGCATTGAGCGACTTATCGAAGCAAATGCGTATCTCCTCCAAGTAGCTGACATCTTTTTTACTATCGTACAAACAATGTATAGATGGATTCTTGCCCAAACCCTTGACAAGGGCCGCATGAATGGCCACCACGGTATTGTTCGAGTCCGGATGTATGCCAGAATCACCCAAAATTTTCGAAAGTTGAAAACCTTCACGCCATGTTATGCCCTGTGAGAAATATTTCAGTTCATTGTTGAGTTCCTCTAAAACAGCGGCGCATGTGCCATGTTTCAGCCATTCATGTTTCCACAACCAATCACCCTTCGATTCACCATCAATATCGGGCCAAAAGTGATTTAGCTCATCCTTGATGTCTGACAAAAGATTTATATCGAAATTCGCCGTTTTATTGCAGAAAGAGGGACCGATATGACCCTTCTTTGTTGGCCACACACCATGAACTGTCCAGAATTCCTTAGCTGCCGGTAATTTACATTCATGATCCTTATCCTCTTCTCTCCAATGATAACAAGTCGTGACAGGCCACTGCTGGGTAAATATCAAAAGATCCCACTCATAATTGCCGCCATTTTCCAATAGACCCATTTCAATATCGAGATCATCATGATATTCGGAGGAACTCAATTCATCTGAGAAGAATATATTTTGTTTCACCTCTTCGATGCGTTTTAGAGCGTCCTCATTGGGAAACTGTAGCTCTGCTAGTTCATCACTGTCAGGTGTCGCGGCGCTGGAAAAGAAGGCAAAAACATATATTTTAAATTTATAGAAATAAAATATTTAATTTAAATATTTTAATTGTAATTTTGTACTGTACAGTACCAAAATATAGTGCATACTTTTAGGTACAAGTTGGAGACTTCTTAGCAGTCAGAATGAAACTATTGTCTTCTATAAATATAAAATAGTAGATAAAGCGGATGAAAGTAGAATCTAGAAAATGTGCACAAGGGCCGGTCTAGGTGCGCAGGCATGCGATAAGGCAGGGTTTTTTGGAAACTCGTACTAAAACGATTTGAAAAGTACTCAAATGCTCCAAAAATTTAATGAATTGGACAAAAGAAATGAGCTAGAATTCTGAAATTTGAAATGAGAGTCATTGATGGAGTTCAGGATAGATGTACCAAAGGGTTTTTGGAAATTCGAACTTTTAGCTTACGAAAAGTTCTAAAATGGTACTAAACATCTAAAATGGTACCATTTGGTGTTATGTAAACGGATAAAGGTAAAAACTTGAAACTTGGTATAAGAATCAATGTTAGAAAGACAGTTTGATATATGATGACGGTTTTCGAGATATGTACTAAGTGTACTAACTGTATTAAATTGTACTAAGTTTAGAACAGTTTGGTTTAGGGTGAACGGATGAAGTTGAAAAATTTTATTTAGATTTCCATTGATGGTTGATTTGTGATAAATAGGTGGTTTTTGAAATATGTACAACAAGCGCACGAAAAGTACCCAGTACCAAATTGTACCAAGTACTATATTTGGTACAATTTGGAATTGAGTGAACATACAGTGTTTGAAATCTGAATTTTGGTATTAAGGTCGCTGTTTATGTGTAGCCGGGACATATGGAGGTGATTTCGGATGTGTATTATAACTGTACAAAACAGTACTTAATGGCACTATATTTGGTATTGGGTGATGGGATATATGTAAAATTCTGAAATTTGATATTTAGATCACTCTTGGTGTCTGTGGGTAAGGTATAGTTACTATTAGAAAGTACTAAGTGGTACTAAATTAGCTATTGAATGAAGAGATAGAGCTGGAGACCCGATATTTGATATTGAGGTCACTTTTGGTATCTGGAATTGAGATATGAAGGCGATTTTGAAAATATGTGCTTTAATTGTACGAAAAATACTAGATAGTACTAAGTATGGTATTGGGTGAAGGGATAGAGCTGAAATCCTCAAACTTTATATTGTGGTCTCTTTTGGTATCTGGAATTAAAATATGGAGACGGGGTTGGAAATGTGTACTATAATTGTAGGAAAAGAACTAAATTTTGTATTGGGTAAGGGATAGAGCCGAAATCCTGAAATTTGATATCACTTTTGGTGTTTGTGGATGAGATGATGGTACTAAATTTAGTAATGGGGAAAATTAATGAGCTAGAATCCCGATATTTGATACTGAGGTTTCTGTTGGTAAGTAGTGTTGAGATCTGGTAGTGGTTTTTGTAAAGTTTTGTTCGATAAGTACTGAATGGTACGAATATTCGATTACGGTTGGCGTCAAGGATGAATAGATGTGGATTGTTTTGAGCATGAGAACTAAATGTTACTAAATTTGGTATTCGGTGAAGGATTTTTAGGTTCAGGGTTTACATATGGAGACTTTGAAATAGTTTTGGGCAGAAAAATTGCATGTGCGTCCATTGTGCAATGGTTTTAATAATATTCCGGTCAGAAAACTTCAAAATGAAAGATTTTGAAGACTTTTTGGTAAAAATGGTAAACATTTTGCAAACTAAACAATCTATCCTTTTTGAGTACTAACAAGTAAAAAAAGCAATAAGTTCGGTCGGCCCGAACTTTGAATACCCTCTATCATTTGGAAGGAATTTGAAAATTAAAAAAAAAAATACGTTGCAAAATAATACTCCGAATATAGGGAGGTACCGTCATATGGGGGCTATACGAACACCTATCCCTGCATAGGCAATTTTTCGCCACAGGCTATAATACCCGTTACGAACTGCAAATATGAAATTTGAAACATGGGAAATATAGGGTCTATACGAACACCCAGACCTGCCTAGGCTGTAGGACGCGCTATGAACTGCAAGTAAAAAATTTGAAACAATTCCAGTGAATAATGTCGCTAAATTCATGAAAATACCGAATTTAGGGAGGTATATGGGGCTATACGAAGACGTGGACTCGCATGGTCAATTTTCTTTCACAGATTGTAGTATCAATAACGAACTACAATTACGAAATATGACACCATTTCGGTTAATAATGCTGCTAAAGTAATAAGAATACGGAATATAGGGAGGTACCGTTATATGAGGGCTGTACCAAAACGTGGATCTGCATGCGCAATTTTCTGTTATAACCTGCAGTACTCATTAGGACATAATGTCGGTATAATCATCAAAATACCGAATATAGGAAGGTACCGCTATATGGGGCTTATATCAAAACGTGGACCTATACAACCCATTTTCAAAACCAAACGTCCTGCAGAACAGACACACATATGTACTTGCAGTTCGCATTAGGACCTAATGTCGGTATAATCATCAATATACCGAACATAGGCAGGTACCGTTGTAGGGCGTTATATCAAGGGGCCTATATCGAGAATCCTACCGATTTGTCACACTAGATCTAGTGTTTGTAGAAATGTAAGGGCGTGACAGATTGGCAGAATATTGGTGAATCATTTCGGATTTTATGAAGTTTTAAATAAAACCAGATCAGATATATCTCTAGACAAAAAAAAAAAAAAAAACTAAGAAAAAGGATGGAAGTTGGTGACTCACTCAAAACTCTGTAATATTCTTCGCCTTACACCCTGATAAACAATGTAGTTTTTGTCAATACTATAAATTAAATTAGTATTCTTAAAATCTAAGTCCTAACCTTTATCCTATTATGACAGCAGAATTTGTAAGTGTATCCTGTCAGAATCAAATCATTCTCTTTCCCTTCCTATACTTTTCATGACTAACAGTGTGACCTAATTTTCTTTGTTCTAAGGAATTGCAAATTATCAGCAAATGCTTGTTCTCCAATGGCAACAATGGCTTGTATATTTATTTATTTTTTATTATTTGACACAGTTAATTTGATATGAGAAATCACTCACGCTGGCTTTGGCATAACGTTCTAGTTCTGGCCTTTGTTTATACTTATTAGTGTTATTATAAATAAGATTTACATGTGCTTATAAATTATAAACAAATAAAAAAGCTGTAAGTTCGGCCGTGCCGATCTTTGAATACCCTAAACCATTTGGAACGAATTTGGCAATTTTTAAAAGAATAAAATCCCCTAAAAATTCTATTAAAATCTTAAAAATATCAAATGTAGCCGTTATATTGGGGTCTATACGTCGACGAGGACCTGCATAGGTAACTTTTCTCATATGCCATCTAAAATATTCAAATGCGGAACTTGAAAAAAAAAATCGGTGAATAATATAGCTATTATATGGGCGCTACACCAAAATGTGGACCTGCACATACAATTTTTTGCCTTAGGCTGCAGTATCCATTGCGAACTTCAAATACCGAATTTGAAATAATTCCGATGAATAATAATATAACGAATACAGGAAGGTACCGTTATATGTGGGCTATAGGAAGACGTCGACCTGCACAGACAATTTTCTGTGATAGGCTGTAGTATTCATTACGAACTTCAAATACCAAATTTGACACAATTCAATACAATCATCAAAATACCGAATATCGGGAGGTAACGTTATATGGGGGCTATACCAAAACGTGGACCTACATGACCCATTTTCAATAAAAACAATTTTATCAATCTATCTCATTTCGTTCGGAAGCTAGAGTGATTTCCACAGACGGATAGACGGACGGACATCGTTAAATCGACATAGAATTTTATGCGGATCAAGAATATATATACTTTTTCGAGATGTTACAATGGAATGACAAACTTAATATACCCTGCATACTATGGTGAAAGGTATAAAATTCCATAATTTATTTTTATTTATAACTTGTTATACATTTGATACGGCCAAAACGTGTCTCATTAAAATAACGGTTTTAGACCCTAGGTCTTTTTGGGCCAAATCCGTTTTAGAATATTTGGAGACAATCTAGGGATGTCCGTCCGTCTGTCTGGCTGGTGTGCACGACAACTCTCGAAGGGAGTATCCGATATGGTCCCAACTTGGCACATCGTAATATTATTATCAACCTTAGTTTGGAGATGGGTAATATCGGTCCATTCCTTCTAGTACCTCCCCTACAAAAGGTCGAATTTTTTAATCAATATTATACAGAACAGAAGGAGAAACGATAATTCGATTTTGCTGCAACTTTGAAAATGCTAATATTTGCTTCAGTGCTAGGTCAGGTGGGAAAATGGATAATATCGGTCCACTCCATTAAGTACCTCCCCACAAACGGTCAACATTTTAACTCTTGTAAAATGTCAAATTTCACACATCACAATATTTGTATTTACCCAAGGTCTGGATTATATCGGTCTTTTCCTTCTGGTACCTCCCCCACAAAGGGTCAACATTTTGAATATCCATGAAGTTCCGAAATAATTCGCCAATATTCTGAATATCCATGCAGCTCCCAAATGATTAACCAATATTCTGCCAACTTGTCACACCTTTATATTTCGACCAACATTAGATCTAGTGTTAAAAATCGGGGCAATTCTCCTTGTCCTTTTCCCGCAAATAATCAAATATTATTGTCCGGATATGGTACGTTTTTATACCCTCCACCATAGTATGGACGGCGTATTAAGTAAATTTTCTATCAACATAAGATCTGTTATAGGATGGTAGAGATCGAACCATTCCTTCTGGTACCTTACCCACAAAGGGTCAAAGTTTTGAATAACCAAAACAATTATAAAATCCGAAATAATCATCCGGTTCTCTTCTATTGTTCAAGATTTTGAAAAACAAAAATCTCAAAGAAAGCGAAATAACCATCCAATTCTCTTCAAAATTTCACACATACAGATATTTTTACTAATACAAGATCTGTTGTGAGGATGATATATATCTGCGGACCCCTTCTTCAGAATTTGCAATCCTTTTATCTGTCATAACTTGCGAAAGAAGTAAGCAATTCTTTACAACTTGCTATATCTAAATATTCCTTCAACCAGACCGTGAGATAAATATGAAATTTAAATATGGATGCGAAAATTGGATAAATTGTTCGATTTTCTTGTATTTTTGTCCATATCAATATTTTTATCCGTATTAGATGAAATATGAAAATGGAATAGTTCGGTCGACTACATCTGGTAACTCACGTACATTTTAACATTTTCTAAAAATTATCACATATCTCATGTAAAGTGGAGGAAGTAACCAACACAGACCAAACCTGACATGTCGCAATATTTATATCATATTTATTTAGGCCCGACACGAAATGTCCAATAGGGTCAACAATTTGAATAATCAAATACAAAATTTTTGATAATATTTAACAAGTAAAAAAGCTGCAAGTTCGGCCGGGCCGAACTTTGAATAACCTCCACCATTTGGTACAAATTTGGCAATTTAAAAAAAATTAAATCCTTTAAAAATTCTGTTAAAATCTTAAAAATACCGAATGTAGCCGTATAATAGGGTCTATACGACGACGTGGACCTGCATAGGCAACTTTTGTCACAAGCTAAATTCAAATGAGAAAATTGAAAAAATCTGTTTATAATGTAGCTAAAATCATCAAAATACCGAATATAGGGTGGTACCATGGGGGTTATAAAACAGACAATTTTCTCGCATAGGCTGTAGTATCAATTACGAACTTCAAGTACCAAATTTGAAACAATCCGGTGAATAATGTCGCTAAAATCTTTAAAATACCGAATATCGGGAGGTACCGTTGTATTAGGCCTATACGAAGACGTGGACCTGCAAAGACAATTTTCTGTCATAGGCTGTAGTATCTATTACGAACTTCAAATGCGAAATTTGAAACAGTTCTGGTAAATAATGTCGCTAAAATCATCAAAATACCGAATATAGGGGGGTTCCGTTATATGGGGCCTATACGAAGACGTGGACCTGGAAAGACAATTTTCTGTCATAGGCTGTAGTATCTATTACGAACTTCAAATACCAAATTTGAAACAATTCCGGTAAATAATGTAGCTAAAATCATAAAAATACCGAAAATCGGGGGGTTCCCTTATATGGGGGCTATACGAAGACGTGGACCTACATGCCTCATTTTCTGTCTCAGGCTGTAGTATATATTTCGAACTTCAAACACCAAATTTGAAACAATTCCGGTGAATAATGTCGCTAAAATCATCAAAATACCGAATATCGGGAGGTACCGTTATATGGGGGATATACGAAGACGTGGACCTGTACAGATAATTTTCTGTCTTAGGCTGTAGTATCCACTACGAACTTCAAATGCCAAATTGGAAACAATTCCGGTGAATAATGTCGCTAAAATCATCAAAATACCAAATATCGGGAGGTACCGTTATATGGGGGCTATATGATAACTTGGACCTACATGGCCCATTTACGAACTTAACCTGCCTACTGGCAAAATATACATGTGTGTAAAATTTTAGCCTTATACCTCAATTTGTTCGAAAGATAGCGTGATTACAACGGACAGAAAGACGGACTAAATCGTGTTAGAATTTTACGATGATCAAGAATATATATACTTTGTTGGGTCTGACATGAGTATTTCGAGGAGTTACAAACGGAATGACAAAATTAATATACCCTCCATAGTATGGTGGAGGGTATAAAAATCCATAATTTACAAATTTAAATAACTTGTTGCATATCATTTTAATACTTCCGATTAAAAGCAACCACAGCCGACCATTACTATACTCTGATTTAATTTTACATTTTGTTTCCGTTTTCAAATAAACATATGTTTTGGGCTCTACTATAATTTCAAAGACGACCACTGTATACAATGTTAGGTCATTAATTTGTTTGTGTTTCATTAGGGGGTGAGTGCAAGAGAGAGAGAGAGAGCTAGAGTGAGCGGCAAAGAGAAGGTTCATGAAATGCTAATCATTTGATTGAGTATTTATATGACATTGTTATTGTTTACAAACAATATTCATAACATTTTGATACCACTTTGATTTTTTTTTTAATAATATTATTTTCTTCGGAGGAATGTTTTCTATTTCCACACAATAACGTAAATCTGCTGTGCCATCAGCCAAGAGGTCTTTGTGGTGACGGCATATGTCGTAGAGACGGGTGGGTAGATAGGTTGGTATTTGGCAAATGATTTACCTGTACACCGTGGCAAATGTTGAAATTGCACAGCAAGTCAGGAAAATTTTGCAAAATCTCTGAGACATTTTCACCGAACCAACAGCAGTAGCCCAATGCGTTGGAAATTTATTGAGGGAATTTTCTCCAATTTTTATTTGTGGTTGTTGTTGCTGCTATTTTTCGTTTCGGAAAAATGCGTTTATTTAACAACGAAGCATTTATCTTTCTTTCTATCTATGTTTGTCTTATTCTTTGTATGTTTTTTTTTTCAAGGTTGTTTTTTTTGGATGAATTGGGTTTTTGATTCACTTTTATTTTCTTCACAATCTCCTTCAAGATATGTTATTTTTCTTCACGATTTTGATATCTTCTGCGGACATTGTTTTCGAATTGATTTAAGCACTTTTCGTTCGTATTCTAGATATTTTGTTGAAATGACGTTTTTTCTTTCGTTAATACGGCCACGATTATCATATTAGCCCATGGAAATCTTTTTTCTCTTTTTTTGTTTGCTTTATTTGTTTGAAATAATTTAAATGTTGACACACACACAGAGAGACTCTCGTACGACAATAACATGGATTTGGTTTTGTGGTGATGCAGTCTTTTTTGTTGTTACATTTTTTTATATTTTATTATAGGTAGGTATTATTATTTTTTGCAGTTTTTCTGTGAGACAAACAATCAAATACTACAAGCGGACAGTCTCTTTTTGATTTGGTTTCCTCTTTCCTTTTTAATGTTTGGTTCGAGTGTTGTTATTTGTCGTCGTTCTGGCATTGCCTCTTCAGCTTGTGGCGTAGCGTGTTTTGCTGTTTTCAAATGCTATAGGTGTGTGGTTGTGTGTGTGTTTGCACTCGCATCTGTCTATGGGCTAACCTATCCAAGTGTTTTATAGTGCTTCTTCTTCCTTTATTTTATGGCTGTCATTTGATACGTATCTTTTTTTTAATAGTTCTATTTAAGATTAAATTATTTTTTCCTCAATAAAATAGAAATTACAATTTCTTTTATAAAACTATAATTTTGTATTTCTTTTTATAAAATAATATTAAAGTAAATAAATTCTAATTTATTTTTTTAGTCAATGCTATTAGTGAATGGAAAAACGATTCACTAAAGCACTACTAAATCAGTACTCGTATTACAACACTGCCATCTAGATGTCATTTTAATATTAACGGTTTATGTCCAAAGTCAAAGGAAGAACGTTACAGAGTTGATTACAAAGAGTAGTATATTTAATACGCAAACCAATCGAAACAGCAAAGCAAATACAATCGGCTCCGTGTAAATTACACAAGTCCAATATATAGCGGATATATGAAAATAAACCTTGTCACTACGGAATTTCCATGTGGTAACAAGTAAAAAAACAGCTAAGCTCGGCCGGGCCGGGCCGAGCCGGGCCGAACTTTTAATATCTATATCTATAAAAGAGGAAAATGTTTGTATGTTTGTTTGTTTGTTTGTTTGTTTGTTTGTTTGTTTGTAATTTATGGACTCGAAAACCGCTAAATAGATTTTCCTGATAATTTCCATATATACTGCAACATCGCCTGAAAGTAACATAGGCTATATACATTTTCGAATTTCCACTTGGAACCGGAGATATAGCATCAGAATCGGAGGTACCTCCCAAAAATTTAGATTTTATATGCATATATCTATTGATTGGTTGAAGATACAGTCTCCAAATTTGGAATACGTAACGGAATTTGGAACAAAAATAAGTTTGCCAAATTATATTGTAATCGGTTCAGATTTGGATATAGCTCCCATATATATTTTCGACCGATTTCGTTTATTTGATGCCTCAAACACAATATGAATGTTCGATTCCAATGAAATTTGGAATGTGTGACGGGATTTAATCCGAAAATAAATTTGTCAAATTATATTGAAATCGGTTAGGATTTGGATATAGCTCCCATATATATTTTCCGCCGATTTCAAGCATTTGATGCACCAAACACGCTATGTATCCCCAATTTCAATGAAATTTGAAACGTGTGATAGATTTTATCTAAAAAATTGATTTCCCAAATTATATTGAAATAGGTTCAGATTTGGATATAGCTCCCATATACATTTTCGGCCGATTTCATGTATTTGGTGGACAAAACACGACATGTATTTCCAATTGTAATGAAATTTAAAATAAGTAACGGAATTGGGAGCCGAAATGAATTTGTCAAATTAAATTGAAATCGGTTCAGATTTGGATATAGCTCCCATATATATTTTCGACCGATTTCATGTATTTGATGCACCAAACACGCTATGTATCTCTAATTTCAATGAAATTTAGAATGTGTAGCGGAAATTAAAACAAATATACATTTGTCAAATTATATTAAAATCGGTTCAGATTTGGATATAGCTCTCATATATACCGACCGATTTCATGTATTTTATGCACCATACACGATATGTATGTTCGATTCCAAAGAAATTTGGAATATGTAATGGGATTTTGATTAGAAAATAAATTAGTCAAATTATATTAAAATCGGTTCAGATTTGGATATAGCTCCCATATATATTTTCCGCCGATTTCACATATTTGATTCACAAAACACGATACGTATTTCCGATTCCAACGAAATTCGGCATGAGTGGCCAAATTTGGTACAAAAATAAATTTGACAAATTATATTCAAATACGCTCAGATGTGATTATAGCTCCTAAATATATACTCAGCCGATTTCACATATTTGATGCACCCAAAGCGAGAGAGACAAAATCTGGCACCAGCAAAAATGGCCAAATTATATTGAAATCAGTTGAGGTTTGGATATAGCTAACATATATATTTCGGCCGATTTCATATATGTTATGCACCAAACATGATATATATGACCGAGACCAATGAAATTCAGAATGTGTGGCGGAATTTGGTTACAATAATAAATGTGACAAATTAATTGGAAATTAGTTAAAATTTGGATATAGCTCCCATATATATATTATCGGCCGATTTCACATATTTGACGCACCAATTTCAATGAAATATGAAAGGTGTGGCGGAGTTTGGTGTAAAAGTATTTTTTTTTAAAATTATATTTAAATCGGATCAGATTGGGATATGATTTTAATAAGAACCATTGACCCACAACGCCTTAGGCTAACACTAAAAAACAACACAACAATTTATTTGAAATACGCTTATTACGGCGAAGTATGTTGCTATTTGGAATTCACTAATTGCAATAGAAAAACCACTCTACTTAAAAAAATTGCAGTTTCCTGCACGCTTGGTATTTGCTATGAAATAAATAAATCCAAAGGACAAACCCTTCGTGTATGCATGTCATGTTACTGCATTTGTAATGATTTTGTTTATTAACGCATTAAATCAGTGCAATATTTTTTTTTTTAATTTTTAAATTTGTTTTTCTTTATCCAACATATATTCGTAAATAAAATTTTGAATGCATATAAAATCAAAAGGGGTAGCGAAGCGCACCGGGTTCAGCTAGTTCTCCACAATTTGGAAGGAACTTGAAAATTTAAAAAAATTCCCAAAACTGACATATAAATGAAAACCGTTATATGGGCCTATACGAAGACGTAAACCTGCATACGAATTTTTTTTTCATAGACCGTAGTACCCATTAGGGTCTTCCAATACGAAATTTGAAAATCTTCCGGCGAATAATGTTGCTGAAATCATCAAAACCGACTATGGAGAGATACAGTTTTATGGAGCCTAAACGAAGACGTGGACGTGCACACAATAGTTTTTATCAAAGGCTGTAGTACCCATTACGAACTTCAAATACGAAATTCGAAATAATTCCTTCTCTAAAATCGTGGAAATATCGGGTTATACAGTTATATGGGGGCTATACGAAGACCTGCGTACGAAATTTTTGTGTCATAGGCTGTAGTACCCATTAAGGTCTTCCAATACGAAATTTAAAACTATTCCGAATATTAATGATCTGAAAATCATCAAAATACCGACTATCGAGAGGTACCGTTTTATGGGGGCTATACGAAGACGTGGACCTGCATACAAAAAATTATATCAAAGGCTTTGGTACCCATTACGAACTTAAAATACGAAATTCGAAATATTTCCGTCGCTAAAATCGTGGAAATACTGAATATCGGTTTGTACCGTTATATGGGGGCTATATGAAGACGTGGACCTGCATATGAAATTTTCTGTCATAGGCTGTAGTACCCATTAAGGTCTTCCAATACGAAATTTAAAACTATTCCGGTGATTAATGTTCCGGAAATCATCAAAATACGGACTATCGGGAGGTACCGTTATGTGGGGGCTATACGAAGACGTGGACCTGCATACAAAAATTTTTGTCAAAGGCTGTAGTACACATTACAAACTTCCATTACGAAATTTAAAATAACTCCGATAAACTATGTCGCTAAAATCATGAATATGCGGAATATCGGGAGGTGCCGTTATATGGGGGCTATACGAAGACGTGAACCTACATACAAAAATTTTTGTCAAAGGCTGTAGTACCGATTACGAACTTCAAATAAGAAATTTAAAATAATTCCGGTAAATTATGTCGCTAAAATCATGAAAATACAGAATATCGGGAGGTACCGTTATATGGGGGCTATACGAAGACGTGGACATGAATACAAAAAAAAATGTTATAGTTCCAATTACGAACTTCAAATACGAAATTTAAAATAATTCCGGTAAATAATGTAGCAAAAAAAATGAAAATACTATACGAAAACGTGGACCGATATGGCCCATTTACGAACTTAACCTGCCTACTGGTAATCTATGCATGTATGCAAAAATTTAACCTTCTATATCAATTCGTTCGAATAAGAGCGTAATTACAACAGACAGACAGACGGATCACTAGATCGTCTTAGAATGTTACGCTGATCCAGAATATATATACTTTGTAGGGTCTATTATGAATATTTCGAGAAGTTACAAACGGAATGACACAGCTAATATACCCTCCATAGAATTGTGGAGGATATAAAAAATACTATATATCGAATATCACCGCTTTGAAAGTTTACATGGCAAAACTAAGTATACGGGCCAACTTCCCCTCTGAATCCATTTATTTTTATAAAAAAAAGTAAAAAAGTATCAGGCGGTTTCACCGACAGGTGTAGCCAATGTTTATTCAAATATATTTTCAATTCTGTTATGATTATTCAGAATTTTGATCCTCTATGGCGTAGGTTCCGAAGAGCCAATATTGTCCATTTCGTATTGGTCCTAAATAAATATGATATAAACATTGCGACGTGCCAGGTTTGAACTATATTCGTTACTTCCTTCACTTTATATGAGATACGTGATAATTTTCCGAAAATGTTAAAATATGCATGAAGTACCAGATATAGTCGACCGAGGCATTTTTTCAATTCATTAAACAGATACAAATATTGATATTGGCGAAATCACAAAAAAATCGAACATTTATATCCAATTTTATGCGAAATATAAATTCAATTCCATTCAACATCTGAGATTTCTGGTTTAGAAATATTTAGATATAGCTAGTTGTAAGGAATCGCTGACTTGTTTCGCAAGCTATGGCTATATGATAAATATATTGAAAATTGTGGCCTTTTGTGGGTGAGGTACAACGAAAGGTTTTAGTAAGTGTCAAATTTAGAGAGGGTTTTGTTTTTCACAATCTTGAACCCTATGTGGAGGAGGTACCACAAGGAGTGGACCGATCTCTACCATATTAATAACAGATCTTGGAATGGAAATATTGAGATGCACCAAATCTGAATGGTATCGGATAATAATATCTTTTTTTATGAGCTTCATGGATATTCATAATTTTGACCCTTGGTGGAGGAGGTGCCAGAAGGAGTGGACCGATATATTC